TGAATTTATCCTCGCATCAACATGGTGAAAACAAGAAAGGCCACGAAAGCCCCTTCCACGAGCAAAGGCAAAAACAAGGCCGTCATAGCAACTCCACCCGAGTCATCGGACACCTCTCACAACTCGGACTCCGATTCGGGGGAAGATATCCCCACCTTGGCTCAAACTCACGGCATCCCGTTTCCAGTTTTCAACGATTCCGAAGTGGCCGCCTACAAGCGGCTAGCCGCACGGCCTATACCTAAGCCCCGAGTACTTGACTGGGCATTGTTGAAGCATTACGAGATCGAGGTCGCCGTCCGCTCGTACTTGAAAGAACTTCACTTGGAAAAGTATGCGGACATGGAGAATTTGACCGCTTTCCGGACACTAGCCCTCGAGTGTTTTAGCACGATTCAAAGCCATGACGACGGAAACTTCCTAACTTGTCGCTTAAACGGGAAGGAGATCAAAATCACGGATAAAGTTCTATGCGAGATTTATGGCTTGAAGATAACGGGCGCTCGTCAGAAACCCCAAAACTTCCAAACTGACAAGCATTGGGCCGACTTGTCACCTTGATCGTTTTTCAACCGAAAGGGACCTTCTGCCGGTCTGATCAAGGAGTTCCCTATCGCGATTGTGCACAAATTCCTCTCTTACAACATCTTTGGAAAGACAGAGGCGAATAAGGTCAGCGAACAGGAATTGTTGGTTATGTGGGCGATGTGCAAGAAGAAATCGATATGCCTACTTCCGTTTCTCAAGCAAGCCCTTGTCGATACGCGTAATAGGTCCAAGAGCTACCCTACATTGGCTCATGTGGTTACCGAACTCGCTGACTATTTCAAAATCCCCGCATCTACGGAGGAAGGAATCGGTGCTGCTGTCATCGGGTACGAGGAGCTTCGCCACGGAGGCTTTCTGAACAAAGGGCTCAAGGTCACACATTTTTCTGAGCGTAAATGCTACGAGACGTACTTACGGGAGGAGGAGTTGAAGAGAATGGCACGAGGAGAGGGTTCTTCGAAGCAAGCCATGGGGGGCCCTTCTCAGCCGGTAGCAGGAGAGCAAGCGGAGCCAACGGATCACGTTCCAGAGGCCGAGGACCACTACGATCTCGGCGAGTATCAGCCGCACCCCCCGATGGACGACCACCCGAGCACTTTCTCCCAGCAGGCTCCCTCTTGGTTCTCCACGTTCCAGGCTCGGTATGATGAGAATCAGACCCGGAACGATGAGCAATACCGAGCCATCCACTCCGCAGTCGAGTCGCACAATGTGCGCCTCGACTCGTATATAGAGCATAATGATGCTCGTTGGCAGTCATTCCTGGAGGCTAATGACGAGCGTTGGGTCCAACAGACAAAGGAGTGGAACGACTTCAAGCAGACTAACGAGGCGCACTGGACAGCCCATGACACCCGTTGGGATACTTGGGAGGCGCAGCGGTACCAGCACCCACCTCCGCCACCACCGAACGCACAGTGATTTGTCACTGTGCTTTGTATGTTTTTCTTTTCCTTTCTCTTTTATTTTTGTATAGCTTCTTTTATTTCGAGTCGTGTTTCATTATATGGTTTACTCTCCTTCACTGAGAATTGACAATGGGGACATTGTTCGGTTTTAAGTGTGGGGGAGTTTTACGTGCTTACGTGTCTATGTGGTGGACCAGGTCTAGTTCTTGCCTTAGGTTGTCTTTTATTTCTTTTCTC